AAATCTTATATTAGCAATTTTTTCAAATCAAATAATTAATATTTTATGAATTGAACTTTTGGATTAAGTGATTTATCCTTAAACCTTACCTGTTTAGGATTAGTTGATTAGATGTTTGACTCTAACTAACGATTTAAAAAAATATTTCTCATCCTCAAATTCCCCAATATTAAAAAAAATGATAACAATAATTAGTATTTTATAATTTAAAATAATTTAGATGAGAAAACACTTTTTTGATATATTATTATGAGTTTTAGATAAATAATAATAAAAATAATTTTCATATTTTTAAATAGAAGTAAGTTTATTGTTTTAATACACTAGTGGTTTTTAATTTTTAATTTTAGTTTTTAAAATTTAAACAGTTATAACTAACAATTAAAATTTAAAATTAATAATTAATAATTTATTGGTGTGAAATTTTAGAATTAATACCTAAAAATTTAAATTTAATTAATTAAAACTAAAATCAAAACGAAATATTCAAAATCACTACCATATTAAACTAAGTTTTAGTTATTCGTATTAAAACTCATTTAAACAAGTTTTTTTGTTTTGACTTTTAGCAACTTCTTTCAAAACTAAACCCAAAATAAAAAATTACAACTATATTAAGGCTTTATTTATCTTTGCTATGCAGTATTGTACTTGCATTTTTTTTATCTTTTATTATCTAAAAAATAAATAATATATTAATTAAAATTAATAAAAATATAAAATTTAAATAAAATTAATTAAAAATTAAAAATTTATATTTTTAAATAAGGTACCTTATGAAATAGGTTTGTAAGAAGCATTGACAAACAAAATTTAAGCCGAGTTTACAATTTCGTTTGTATGTGTTGTGTTATACTGTAATTGTAGGTTTTTTTTTCTAATTTTCCTATCCAAAAAATATATAAAATTTTCATTAAAATTACATAAAATATATACAATATTAATTAAAATTAATTATTTGTGATAATTTTATATTTATAAATAATGTGTTATAAGAAAAAGTGTGGTATATAATTAGAGGAAGCCTAAGTTGACCAGTTGTTTCTCTTTAATTACTCCTTGTATTTTTGGGCTGATGTTCCTTTTAGGTTAAAATCTCATATTGGTTTTCTAAATTTTTATATGAAGCCCTCTTTCTTTTTTCTTTTGATAAGCATATGGAGCCCATTTTAGGTTCCCAATTGAAGAAATTCCTATTTCAGTTCTTAAAATTTACTTTTAATCACTTTTTGATATCTCTGTCAATTAAGTGATAATATGATATTATTTTTGTTAAGCATTTTGTATTTTCATTGCTCAAGATGATGTGGTAATTAAAGTTGCCCACCCAAAAGGTTTTTTTAATCTTTTTTTATTGCACAACACAAGGTAACCTTATTGTCCTTATTCTTTTACTCACTTTACTTGCATGTTGATTTTAGAAAGGCAACAACAAAAATGAAAATTAAAAATTTTGTTATAATTCTCTTTCAACTTACTTGGGATTTTTGTAAATCCATTGACAGATAAAGAAGTGTTGTGCCTCATTGATGCATAAATCTAACTATTTTCCTTCAATGAAGCCATTGAAAAATCCAAATATAGTATTTCTGTAGTAGGGATTCATATGTATACTAGGGGATGTGGAAAGATTGGACCTTCAACAATGCTAGCAATCAAAAACCCATAAAAAAAAAAAATCCCATGATTCTAATAAAATTAGTCTTCTCATTAAAAAAAAAAAAGGTTAATACTTTATACATAAAAAAAAATATCAACCAATTAAAATGTGCCACATGTCAAATTTAGGTCTTGAAAATAATATCATCCTTGACCAATTAAAATTGATTTGATATTGTTGGATTAATTACAAGATGCCATGTGTCCCAAAGACATGTCAAATTACTAGAAGGGAAAGTATTGTTCTTAAAAGAAGAAATTTTTATTAAAATAAAATACATGTTATCTCAATCAATAAAATTAAAGCATAACTTGTTAAGCATCAATAAAACTCTTGCCCTAAACTATTCGGAATAAATTTAAAAGTAATTGGTGGAGAGATTGTAACCCTAAAAAGACAACTTATTTCTAAAATATGAACCTTCCACACAAATTATATGCTAAAAACTCTCAGACAAATTTCAAGAATTAAGCTCTACCAATATTTCTCTATCAATGGAAAATAAATCGTAGATTAAAGAATAGAAAGATCTAACAAATATAAAATTGAAAACACAAACAACGAAGAAAAAATAAGTGAAATGTGATAAAAAGCATTGATAACTTGTTTCCCTCTTAAGAGGAACTTGTTGGGGAGACATATGCATAGCAGGGAGACATTCGATAGTTCATAACATGTGTTTGACACTGTTTTGAAACCAAAAAATTAGTATAATAGTTTTATGAGTCTTGACATATTTTAAGCCACTCATTTTTTTAATTGACATACATACATGGTCTATGGGTATACTCTCCATGGGCTTTCATCTATGGGTACTCTCATCATGGGTTAACATTACATACATTAATTTTTGCTAAGCCTGGTCCAAGATTGAAATACCATTGAGTTATACACCATTGACTTTGATATTACTTTGTTGGGGAGACATCTACCCTAGCGAAGAGATATTCAATGGTCCATCATATATTTTTAATACTTTCTTGAAACTAAAAGATCAGTCTAATAGTTTTATGGGTCTTGACATATTTTAAGCTACTCATCACTGTCATATTTTTTCTGATGTGGGATTCTTTTCTTCACTCACAAGGGAATAACATACTTCAACAGGATTTGATCTTGTTTAGCAAAGAAGTTGAAGCATTTATTTGTTCAAGTCATTAAGACCCAAAAGCAAAAAAGTCAACCAAATCAAAATCAAAATAAGGTGGTGCTATAGGGATAACCTTTTTATACCACCCTTTGATACAACTTTCACATGTTATTAAATGAGTGGATGCATTCAATATCACGAATCCCACATGAATTAAAAAAAACCAATCATTTAAATGACAAGTTAGGTTATACTAAAAGGTGATACAAAAAAGTTATTCCAAAATTATTTCTTATAAAAATACATTTTATTTCAAATAGAAGAATTAAATGATCAAATTTCTAAAGATTGTAGCCCACTTTATTATCAAATTTGTAATTTGACATATAATTTTTTAATAAAAAATTGAATAGTTAAATGAATATATTTTTAAATAAAAATAAAAGAAAATTCAAATCAACTAGCAATTTGAGAAAAAAAAATGTTATTTAAGGTAACTTTTCCAGCTCACTGATAGATTGGGCTTCAAATGCTAATCACAAATCCCAAACTATTATATAAAAAAAATTAGAAAAAATTCTACATTAAGTCCCTAAACTTATCTCAATTCTTGATTAAATTCTTAAACTTTTATTAAAGAAAATAAGCATTTGAACTTGACAATTTAAGCAATTTAACCCTTTTCTTTATTGTAAACTAGATGCCTGTTTATGCCTCATTTGCATGGATAAGGTATTAACATGTCGTTGTCTACGTGAAGGATATTGAACTTATTCGTGCAAGTACAAATAGATGTTAAGTATGCCATAAAGGTAAATTGCACAAATTGCTAAATTTAAGAACACGTGTACTTCAATAAAAAATTTTGGGGCTTAATAAAAAATCTAGAGTAAATATAGGAGTTTAACTTAGGATTTTGCCAAAATTTTATCGATCTTTAGAATGCTCAAAGAAATAGAGAAAAGCATATGCTATATCTTGGAAGAGCAAAATGAATATTCAATGCTTTGAAAAAAATCAAACTTTGGGTCTTCTCGTGGATATGGAGGGAGAAGACATTGTTCAAACTAGAGCCAAATGCTTAAATTTAGACGATTAACTCTGGTAGTTGTGAAAATTTTTTCTATACCAATTATTGACTAACAAGCTAGCATTCATGTGACTAAGGATCAAGGATAGAGGCAGAAAATAATCATTTGTACTAATTATTGACTAAATATTATAAAAAATTGATAATATCAATTTCAAATTAATTTTATTTTATTATTTGATATAAATAGTCATTAATCAAATATATATTACAATGATCAAAAAAAATGTCAAATAAACAAAAGTATTTTCATAAATTTATTTTACTTGTCAAGTGATTAGTGATTTATCATAAAATCCATTGATGTGCTAAAATTGCTCTAACAAGTGTACTAATTCTTCCAAGTAATATAATAATAAGTAAAGTGTCAAACTCACAAAGATTATGATTAACTAAGTACCAAAAATAATTAATCTAAATTTATTTGAATAATAAAAAAGAAGAAATTTTAATTAAAAATAATAAAAAATAACAATTAAAATAAAACTAATCAAAATATGATGTACTAAAGCATTGACTTCACCATAATCAATTAATATAAATTCTGAATTAATATGCTTTTAAAACCAATTTATTATTGCATGTAATGGCAAATTTCCCTAAATTAATTAACTAGTTTTTTCAAATCAAGTTAATTCTTCACTTGTTTGTTAAATTAGTCATATCTCTATATAATTTTAAACAAGTTAGTGAGCGTTAAATTCTATGAAAACCTCTAGGTTAAGAAGAGGGAGCTGCTAACTCTCTTCTCTTCCTCCGTGACCGCATTTGACGTTAATTACTTTTCTTCATAGTCTAACACATGATTTATATTATTATTGGTTAATTTATACAATTCTTCTCAACTTTATTAATAAATCACTAAA